GTGTGCCTTGGCATTCTCATGTGAAGTCCACTGAGACAAATGTAACATTTGTGATATTGGGCTATATAAATAAACATTGATTGATTGATTGATTAGTATGTGATGAAGCTTACACCTATCCATAACTGCCTGTTATGTACTGCCTAATTCAAGCCTGACTGGGATCTATTGTGCATTTTACAATCCCAAAATGTTATTTTATGTTGCTACTGTATTCAAGGCATAAATGTAGCTCCAATTTCATATTTCAGCCAATAAATAATTTGACTTAAAGGATTCAAAACAAACTTGGCATTTCTAGTCGTGTACCTAATCATCTCAAAATAGATTTTTGATCATTCTATAAATAAAGTTTCACATGATGTATTTTTCTAAAGAGTAATCCTTAATATGAAAGCACTGTTAAATTCCAAATCAACCCCTCTGAAGTGTGCACCACACTTGCACTTAATGCTCCACCTTGTGGGCGTTTTCTGAAGCGGCTAATCAGGTATCCAAACTGTCAAAGTCACATTGTAAAATCATAAGAATTGGAAGATATAGGAACAATAGAAGGTCAATTTACATCAGGGACTGTGTGCAAACTTATTGAGGTGGGAAGGGAAGGCTGTTTCTTATATCAGTATTGTATGTGTCCCTTCCCTTCGATTTAACAGTTACAGAAGTTTCAAATGAAATTACCTGCCCTTAATATCTCCAAATAAAATGCTTAGGGCAAAAACATTCAGTCCTGCCCTTTTTAATCGAATATAAGGGTACTAAATAAAGTAAAAACAGCCACAAAATGTTATTTGTGACGAGGCCATATCTTAATATGTATGGTGGTCAGGTGTTTGACTGGCCTTATTAATAAAAACAATATTAGAATCAACCTTTCAATATGTTTTTGTGCCAGAACGAGACTAGGCCCTAAAGAGGATTGCCTATACAGTAGAGCAGCAGTCTATCTTAATGTTAAGCTGTTAAAATATGTTAAAGGTCCCATGTCATGCTTTTCCGGTTATTACCCGTCCCCTTGTGTGTTATGTAGCTTTTTATGCATGTAAACGGTCTGCAGTCACAAACCCTCAAAGTACACCCTGTAGCGAGTATAACTCTAACACACAAAAAAGACCTGTCTATGCTGCCCCAGAACGCCTCCTTGGAGATTTCTCTTTTTCTTCCTGGGTACAGTGATGTATTTGGGTATAGTGACGTTACGTTACTTCCGCCGATTTCTCAGCGTGAGACGGCGGGATGCGACAAGGCTGCGGGTGTGTGTGTGTGTGTGCTCGGGCTGGTTTCGGGCTGGGTTTCGCTGTGTCTCGCTGTCTCGCAGACGGCCACTGGGCTCACAGGGAGGGGGGGGCAGGAGCTCCAACAAGCCGTTTAATTCCATAGTATAAATCTATTCTAGTAGACCTCAACAATGGAATTATGATCAGTAGAAATGGCCATGACATGGGACCTTTAACCTCAGTGATGGCCTTGACTGATTAACAAAGGTTTCCCATAGTTCAACTTTTGATTAGGGTCACTGCAACACATAGTTGACAAAGATAACAAACACATTGTACAAGAGGAATAGGAGTAGTCCCATTTATTAATTGCAGTCTACATGATTCCAAAAGCAGTTTGATGTTGGTTACAACGGAGCACATACTGGCGCCTGAGATTGGCGGCATTTGTCAGAATTATAGCATTTTCCTGCAACAACTTTTAAAAAATCAATGAGGAGATGCTAGAGGCCGCTGATGCCTAACATCATATCAATGAACAGCAGTTATAAGGTATAATATATTTACGCTCAAAAGGGGCGAGTAGTGAAAGAGGGCAGTGTTCAAACATCACATCACAGGACTGTTTGTCGCCTCTCAAGGGAATTTAAATTAGTAACACTTGATACAAGTGCCTTGGAGCTAAATTCTTTCTAGCAGCAAATGGTTTAGTTTGGGACGTTGCACTTGGACGCTATATTACTCATAAATGAGTACAAGTGAATACTGTTTTACATAAATCAGCTGATGAACCACTAACCATTGTTCCAATAGCAGTGAACTTTTTTGTTTTGGTATCAGAAATCCCTGTAGGCTTAAAACACATAAATATTATGTACGCATTTTTATTTCAGAGATTAACCAATGTTGATAATTATTTTCAATAGGTATAACATAGGAATATTTAGAAGATAAGAATTAAATTGGTGTACAGCATAACATAAACCCAGTTACTGACATTTAACCCACTCCACAATGTTGTGTCAATTGATGTTAAGACACGGTGATAACCCAGTGACAAATCAGATCACGCTCCCATTTCCTGATGGCGTGACTGTGCCCTCAATTAATTATTGAGGGCAAGTATTCTGTGTAGTTTCGCTTGGTATTTTGATACCCCAAATCCAGTACATGGCTGACTAGATTATTACTACAACAATGCCTTAGTGGAGGTCTGCATGTGGTTTAGAAAGTACAACAATATTAGAAACATATCATCAAGCTATAAAGCCCTTTTGAATTAATGCAAAACTCAATACTTTGTTTCTCTCTTCATTGGAAATCTAAAGGGCTTACCTTTCAAAATAAATGCACATGACCAGAGTTAAAAATAATACAGTGTTTAAATTACATCAACCGTCATTTTGATGTCTTGTTTATGTTTCTGGGATGAACCTTCATTTTGATGTCTTGTTTATGTTTCTGGGATGAACCATCTTTTTCGTCTCCCACGCCAACATTTTCTCCATGGGCAGAAGAGAGAAACTTCCATCGAGGTGCAGCGGGCCTCTGCTTTTTGGGAGCCTCGTATGGAAGTGCTATCAGCCACTGCAACAGCAGGATGGGGGGGTCAAGTCTAAAAAGAGACAAGTCCAGTCCAAATTAAGTCGGGTCAGACATGAGATGTTACAAAGAAAAGAAAATATACAATATGCAACCACTAATCCCAAAAGGAGGACTTTCAGAAAGCAGTTAACACTACAAGAGCAATGATTCCAGGATGCAATCTTACCGGTCCTTTATGTTCTTCTTGAGGGTGCCAATGCATATGTTGAAAGAGAATATAGTAAAGTGCCTCAGGCCATGCCAAGCCCAGAACCAAAACTCAAGCCTGGGGGAGAGAGAGTGACAAGACTCAATGAATAACTGCACACCATATTTTCTTAAATTGCTAAATTGATAGTTGTGTCTGTATTTAAATGTATAACTAACACAACATGCAGTAACCATGACCTGAATGATTCCATGGTCAATAGACTTTCCAGGGTTTAGTATGACATAAGTTAGATTGGTCATGATTTGTTGGTTTAAATGCATGGATTCCTCTAGATCTGTCTCAAATGAATCCTTAATATTTGAAATATATATTACTTGCCTGATGAAAAGATTGATCGTACTCTTATATTTGTAAGCTAAGTATGAAGCTCCAGCCAGTAGACTTAACTTAGCATTGCATAATTACTGAAGACAGACCGAAACAACTATGTTAACATTCTGTATTTTTATTACCTGTGTCTACTCTCAAGTAGTGTGTGAAACAACAGCATCAGAGGGAGGATCAGGTTGGAGAAGATTTTTGCAGGGAGTCCAAATTTGTTGTGATAGGTCACTACGTTGCGAAGCAGAACTGAAACACAAGTTTTCACAAATAATTGGTATAACAATTTCTACATTTGTTTCAGCATTCATTTTGATATTACGAATCAAGACATACTGTAACTTACAAATCAAGTGGGGGGGGGGAATCTGTTATGCTAAATGTAGTTAACCGATTGCTGAAATCAGTTTTTACAGACATTTGTTGACCAATTGTGGATAGGTAATTTAAGTGAACAATGTATTTACATCTGAACAACAGAGCAGTCTGTAAATCATTGTCAGTTTAGTACAAGTGTGTACACCAGACATACCTTTCTTTTTCATGTCAACATGGAGAGAAGGCTCTTTATTCTCTCCAGTTAGTTCATGTTCAGTAGAGCTGACTTTCTGCTTGGGTCGCTTGGTTGTAAAAGATGTCAGTGTAGCAGTCTGCTTTTCCACTTGTATCTCCTTCTCTTCCTCTGTATCTGTCTCCAGATTCATGCACGTTTTTGTTTGGTTACAGTCAAGTATTCCTTGAGATAATTTGTGGATCATCAAATATCGGCCATGATCTGCATACAAGGGAAAAATAGATTGATTGTGTGTAAACATGTTTAAATCTGCATGTTTTTATCTGTAGATAAAGTTGACTTACTATGGCTTTGAAGGAAATTAATAGCATCCTTGTAGCCGCTGTGGTAGGCCTGTTCCAGAGTCTAAAGTGCAGAAACACAATTCTATGTTTTAACGGATACTTTTAGAAATGTTTTTCACAATGGAGGCGCTATTCATTCAAAATGATTCATCAACATGTGGGTAGTAAAGGCTCATCCAACCTAGACAGGGATTATTGGAAGGGATTCACTTAAACATTTAGTTTGACACATCATGGGTCTTTCATAGTGTCAATGTGTAGCACAAAAACAATTGATCATCTTCCAAAGAATATTAAATTAAATCCGAATCATAATAGAAGTTCACTTTCATTTATTGTTCCATATTTTGAAAGGGGTCTTACCTTTAGAGCCATGGGGTAGAGAGCATTCACGATCCTGGAACCGTTAGCCGTGTTGATCTTCAAGGTGCTGCCACTCACCACCATGTCCCAACTGCAAGGTGTGTCGGTGGGACAGATGTCTATCTCTCCGGAGAATGGACACACAGTCAAGGTCTCACTGTGGGGTGCCTCCAGCACTGGTTGCATTTCACTGAAGCCCCCGTCCAAATAATACTATAAAAAAGATCACATCAATTATTATTCACACCAGCAGAATGTGCTTATTATGAAATTGTGATAAGGCCATTCAATACTCACTACTCCTCTGAAGGATGGAGGCAGCATACCGCAGTAAACAGGCACGAAGCAGCTGCATAGCAAAGCCTACAGATAAATAGACATGGTTCAAATTACATTGCTTCTAACCTGCTTAGGTTTTGTTTTAAACATTAGGATGCCAACTCACCTGCACTACATCTTCTTTGGACTGGAAATCAGACGTGAGAATGTGCTTGCCATCAGACAGGCGTGTCATAGACACAGAGAGGCGCCCGTTGGCCATTTGGTGGGCATCAGAAGGAAGATGCTTGTGTAAAATACTCTCCAACCAGTGGGAAACATTAATTGAAGGGTTAAATGGCCCAAGTGTAAAAGACTGCATTTGTTCGGCAAAATGCAGCATCTCATCCCGAATAGTTACTGGAAAATTGAAGACTTAAATTCAGAAACAGTGAATATATGCAACAGAGGTAGATTTTAAAAAAAGGACAAAGTGACTTACTCATGCTCATTTCACAGACTACAGCAGCTGCCACCAGAGACCCAGCAGAGGCACCCAGGACACAAGGCGCCGTGCGCAGTATCCACGGTGCATTATTTAGGAAGCATTCGGCGACCCCTAACTGGTAGGTAGCCATGAATCCAGATCCAGAGAAGGAAATTGAAAGAGGATTTTCACTAAAATGATAACTTGAAATTCCTGGAGCCATTTTCCAAAGGCTTTAAACTGTCAAATGAAATGTTTTAAATCATTAATCTGAAAAGTATTAATGCTCAAGCAAATATGGATTTTGTTCTTTTGTTGTAGACTGAGTTATAGCAGGAATCCAGTGGAGAGTGGGGACTGTTTCAGGATCAGTGTCTTAAAACCAATCCAAATTAGACATACCATATTGGTCAAGCCCATGTGATATACAGTGCATGCTGCTCTCTCAATGGCTTTTTGTCTGTTTCATTTCCGGGAAGTTAACAAATAAACATGTTTGGCAATACCGAATGACTAAAAAACAAATCCAAAGAAGAACAATTATATAAAAAATAATTTTCAAACAAGTCCTTTCCTTTATTTACTTTTGACCTTTTTAGGAAAACCGTTTTTGAGGATTTCACAGTTATGGTTTTCTAAAGGAACACTAAGGCACTATTGTAAGACATCAAGTTCGAAAATGTGTTTTGCTATCACACTAAACTAAATAAAGCACTATAATTCATTCTGAAAATCAAGCAGCAAAACTTCAGCTCAGATCTGCACAACTCTACGGAATCTCCTGCCCTCATTTTTTAGCAAATCATCAGGTGAGGCAGGAATGCTACTCTGGATGTGTTTATGTTTTCCTCACATATTGTCTATTTTTTTACGAGCTTACTAATGCTTAAACATTTAGCTAAAGACACTATGTTCGAGTGACTGCCTTGCATTTCTGACCTTTCTGTTTGTTTGTCTCATTTTAAATAGACCAAAACTGAACTTCAGCCTCACATTGTCTCTCCTTCAACAAAAAACAACTTTAACATTGGGGGGCCCTACTGCACTGGAAACACTGACTAACAACAGTTATATGGCTTTAGGAGGCATATCTTTGAGGACATTTTACAGCCAGGAGTTTCAATCAATAAGTTTGGTAAGAGACTCAACCAAAGAGAAGGGACCACATATTGAATGTATAGGTGAAATGACGCGAGGCAAGAAAGCTAATAAACTAATGTTGTGTAATGCCACTACACCTGCCTTGCATAGCTGTGAAGGCTTACAAGCATCACAACCAATCACACATCCTAAAGGTTAAGCTTATTTCTGTTTAACATCATACATACACAGACACTATTCTAAACACATTTTTAACCAACCTTATTTTTCTAGATTGATTGCGTAATTGTGTGTTGTGTTAACCCCTATGTTGTCAGTGTTTTGAAAATCACCTTGCTCCTGCCAAAAGGCTGAGCTGCTGAACAACACCTGCCTATGTAGATGCGTCTCGTTAATTGGACTGTGCCATTCCCCTAAAGAAGCCACTTCTCCTAAGACACCCATCTTTAAGTAGACAAAAGTATTTTCTCCACTGCACTCTACTATGGACTGGCCAGGGTTGTTATAAATGCCTGCAGTGTGGAGAAGAAGGCAGTGGCTCTTGGGAAGAAAAAAACCCAACATGTCACCTCTTTTTTATAGTTTAGACATAAGAGTACAGTATATCTGTTTATATTATAACTAATTAACCCCTTCCTCTTAAATAATTTTGTTTCCCATCCTAAAAACGATATATATTTTTGGTTAATTAATCCCCATATTTTTCATTCTTTACCTGCCCTCCTTGTTTTTGTGTACCCTGCTCCTTCACAATAGCTTAAGTATAAACACCCTTACATATACAGTGATTTTTGTGGGGGTTTTGTCAAATATGCAGCTTGCAAAATAAGTCATACTTTGTATGTCCAAATAAGAAATCACTTGTGCTAAACCCCTGAGCTTCAGTAACAGTTACCATAGTATATAAAAAAATGCTTAACAGAATATTTATTCAAGCAGGAAAACATTTACAATTACGAACCAATAGGCTCAACACAATTTTAAACTTCACAAATGCACTGTCTTTAGGTTGAATAATAAAACTAATCGTACAATAAACTAGTTTACTGTATTAACTGGCATTTTACCTGCAGCACGAAAAAAACTCTACCCTGTTTAAACCTTTAATTTAATAACAGTCTGAAACAAACTGGATACGACAGTAATTTCCATCACATATTGCAAGACTTAAATTATATTTTAAAATGAGTTCGTCTTTAGACTGTGTTGAACAAACCTCAAAAATCTCAGCTGATGAATATTTGTCCGGTCGAATATTGAAGTGATTTATTTCACAGTTTTCCTTTTCAATTAGTGTCCGTATTGATCACAGTTATGTACATTGATTCACAGAAAAATAGAAAGCAATATCATAGTTAAAAAACTCCTCTATAAATACACCTAACAGTGCATTTTGTTAAACTTGTAGATGCAAAGGTTGTTTTCGGAACACAAGTGTCCATTGCATTATGTAACCACTGTGTTTTTGTATTGTATTTAGGACATTTAATCCATGGTTCATTTTCTATGGAGGATGCTGCGGAGAAGCACGATCAGGTGAAACTTCAAAATGGTCCTCACTGAACTCTTGCGTAGGACTGCTGTCTGCTGTCTCCTGAGGTGAAGTGCTTTCAGGGGACTCAACTGGGTCAACTTGTAGTTTCTTTGTGTCATGTGGGAGTTTCAGAAACCTGAAGGGAGGCAGATAAAAGGCAATAATGTGTGTGTTTTGTTTTGGGAGAATACAGAAAGGGAACGAGACAAACAGAATTGGACGGAGACCTGAAGAGAAGTTTTTGTCCCCGCTCCTTTTTGATGATGTTGAGCTTGTAGTAGTGCCGCAAAGCTCTGGACATTTTCTCATAGGTCATATTGTCTCGGTTCTGTAATAAGAGATCACACATCATCAAGGGCCCATGTGACTAAATTAATTATGACCCATGTCCCCTGTCTTTAATTTTTTGTCTTTAGACCATTTTTGAAATTCCCTGTAAGATAAAAGAAACAGAGCAGTGCTCACCTTGTGGTTTCCCCAGAGACGAGCCAGTCCATTGGGATCAACCACCCTAAACACAAGGCTGTCGTGGTCTTCCCATCGGATGTATTCTTGGTATCGGTCATCACACAGCAGCTTATACACATAGTCCCACAGCAGTCTGCACTCTGGCCATGATTAAGACAGTAATAAGACAAATGCTGCCAAAATGTATAATGCTTTTATTATGGGTATTTTCAAGAAGCCAAAAAAGAAAAGATTCATTTTAAAGTACAACTGTAAAGCAGTGTTCATATCTAAACATGTAGGCATCTGTTGTCAGGTGCATACTGTACATGGGGGAGCGTGTCACTAAGGCTACCTTAAGCAACATTTTTGAAATAGGAGAATAAAATTGAACTGAAGAATAACATTTAACTGGACTAATTGTCCCAGTCTGAAGCATTTTCCAGCTCAGACTAACACATAGTTTATTGTTTTGGGTTTCTAGTCTGTGTTGCTCTTTGCTCGCCCCCACATACACACATATAGGCATAGAGATTTAGCTAAAGAAGAATATGTAGCTAATGAACAATGTTACAGCTTAATAGTGGACTCCTACAAGGAAGAACACACATAATCCGTGCTGATGTTGCCCTGAAAACCTGTTTCAGACTTGTGTCTTGGAGTTTGTCTGCCCTCTAGTGGTCAGAATATACGTATGGCAGTTTTAGATAATAGTTCATTTTTTGTTGCATATATGTGCACCTTTAAAACATACAAAACACATATGTTTATATATTTGTAGAGTCAATACTATGCAATTGTTAATAAGTAATGTACCTGGGATGCGGCCATTGGCGGGGTACACTGAGCTCCTTTGCTTCTCCCGACTGGACAGATTGAGCGGCTCCTTGGCAGTCTCTAATGGGACAGGACTCTGAACTTGGTTGGGGGGCAATGCAGAGACAGCTGCTGATCCATCTAAGAGAGAGAGAAGGAAAGATAGAGAGAGCAACAAAGAGGGAGAGACACACAATCAGATATCACAGCAAATGATGACATCTGCTGGGCATTGTCTTTCTGAGATTGTTATAAATTATACACACTGGTAGATGTGAGTGGAGCAGGGTGTGTGTAAACGATCAAGGGTGGCTGGCGGATCACAGTTGGTACAGCAGCTGCCGAAACTGCAGTGGCGAAAGAGAAGAAAACTCTGAGAGAGAAATATGAGGAACTGTGACAAAAGCTTAACTGAAAGCAAAAGTGACTTTACAACAGCTTAAATATGTGTACAGCAATGCACAACACAAACATGTTGTAGAAACATTGATGAACAAAGACATTATTTTATATTCTGGAGTTGTAATATAACACAACACACCTTTTGGCACACGTCCAGCTTCCTTTAATGGAAAGCACCTTGTTTGTGAGACAGTGCATTAGTATTCCACTAGTGACGCATACATGCCTTAAGCAGCATTGGTGTAAGTACATTTACTCAACAACAGAATGCAGTTTTGAGGCACTAGTAGTACAATGTGTGTGTAAAACTTTAGATATTTCACAATACCTACACTTATCTGATGTGTGCAGCTGCATAACACAATATAATACGCAGTTCAGTTAATTCAACAACATACTCTAACATCACATGACAAGGGGACCTCTTAACATCTACACTATTGGACACAGGGGTAAGGTTTGAACTTCAAAGTTTGAGAATAAAATGTCAAGGGCCCAACAAGTATAGGGAAAAAACAGTACTAATTCCTGCATGTGTTAAGGAGGAAATAATCACTTTGACAATCTAACCAGGATAAATGAGTTTGATTTGATACACCAACAACTCCAACAATCCACTATGTGTTTGTATGAACAGGACGTGTCTGTTCTGCCATGCACTCCGCAGACAGTACATGACAATCTGACCTTTTGCTGTCCATATCTTTCCTGTGAATAATACGTTTTAAAGTTTATTTCTAGACATTGCTGACCTTGGCTGACTGTGGGAGGCCGGTGCTCTTGGACAATCTGCGATGGTATCAGGCAGCTGACTGGGCTCTGGTTGCGTCCAGTTGCCGGGGAAGGAGATGAATTTTGGCGGTCACTGACAACACTCCTCCTTTGCTGTTTTACATACTGTAGAATCTCGTACAGAACATCACCTGTAAAAAAGGAAGCAGGTCCGTATGAAAACACAGGGGTAAAACTAGTCGGCATACTCTCTTTCTGCATGCACACTCATTTCTACCTGAGCTGGGGCAGCGGCGTCTGAAGTCCTCCTTGGTGAGCAGGCAGAGGGCACGACCGTTCATCTCAAAGCGTCCCTTCTCAGGCCTCCGCAGTGAGTACTCCCTCTGAGCCCAATGGAGCCAGTGGCCAACGTCCTCCTTGTCCCACAGGGATGGGTTTATTCCTATAAAACAGATTCACATCATTAAAAGCACAATGTTACAGAGGCGTTTATGGTACAGGCAGATACGTCTACTTTTGCTGATGCTGGAGTTGTATCTTTAAGGTAATAGTGTTTGACTTACGCAGCTGTCCAGGTAGATGCCAAAGGTCTTCCTGTATGGGAGGGCTGTGCAAGGGAAGCTGTTTAGGGGGGGAGTGATGCACACTGAGAGGAATGTTGACTTGCCTTCCGGGCATTATGGATGGAGGAGTGTTTGCTCTGTTTTCTAGCTGCAAAATATCAACACACATTGCCATAAGAACACTTAAACTCCAATCAGTGGTGGTATAGAAACAAGAATGCAGATAATTTGATAATGTTTTATAATGCATTAAAGAAACAACAATGTAGAGGGATTTAAAACATTTCACCCAAATGTTACATTTGCAGTAGCCTTAACAATGAGAGTTGGCCATAGAATAAAAAATGTAAAACTCTCAATCCTATAAAAGCTCTGTTTATATCTCTGCTTTATAAAGACAACATAATGCTTCTGTGACCTCAACTTACCTTGACCAAAGGTGACGGGGGAAAGTTCTCCATGGAAATGTCCTTTATCTGTTCGACTGTAAACAATTACACTAGTCCTTAATAAGCGCTGATGTAACTCGTCCGAAAAATGGAACAAACTGCATGTCAGATCTCCACGAACTCCATATTAAATAAAGAAAGAACAGGATGTAACTTTCGAAGAAATAAAACTCCACTTTTTTCACATTCGACCCTTCCGGGAAATGAAAACGAAAGAAACACACAATCCTTGTCATGGGTGTGTTACAAATCTGATTGGAGGAAGCAACAGCGGAGGACATTTCCAACAACATTGCACTTGAACGATCTAGCAGCATATTTATTGGAGCAATGCATAAATAATGTAGTATAGTTTAAGCACATAGCTTTCACATTGCTTTCACGCATTAAATATAGCATGAAGGATCATTGTATTCGGAATGTAAGTTAAATGGCAAGAGGTGAGAATAAATGTGGATACATGTATGACAAACTGCAGTACACAGAGCCGTACGCGCCTATTACTTAAAGCAGAAAGTCCTTCAGGCTCCTCCTCTTACTGGCTTAAAGGAAACCAAACCAAAGGAAAGACCAGCGTTGAGTTTACAGGAGCAGACTGGTTACAGGATAACACTAGACGACGAACTAGGTAAGGTGTTTAATCCGCCGAGTAACACTCAATACCAATTTAATGCACCCACTATGTTGTCTATGTTGAGACTTGACATGTTCTGGAGAGAAGTTCACTGTAATGGGTAGCCTCCGAACAGAGAACATATGCACCGAGGCTATCAAACATAGTCCTACGTTACCATCGACTAAGTAGGCTACTGTATACAGTGAAAACGTGATAATGAATATCAAAGTGGAAATCCCACAGGAAACATGACCTGGGTCGTGCCCTGTATCCGAATAAAAGTCCTTCTGACTGGAGGGAGGATTGGAAAGGTAGACAGGTAGATGGCTACAGTGAGTAAACCTTATGAAAGTGTTGAAAATGAAAGCCAATATAAAGTATTTTGGCCAATCTTTTTTTCATTAATAGGCTATATGTTATTGCTTTAATAATAATATTATTAATTATAATGATAGAGCCTACGTTTCACAACCCCCCACTCAAATTATACAGTCACAATGCATGTATTTAATGCAATAATTGAAAGTAATGCAGGTGCAATTCAAATGTGCACTATAAACGGTTTCAAATTGTTCTTAGTGTAGCTAATCCTTATAATACCTGCCCTGTCTGCTGGTTACCTGAACATCTGACAGAAAATCTACAAGTTTTGAAGAATCTGGTTGTTCAGGTGTCACACAAAGGTCAAAAATATATAAAAAGTGGCACTTATGTTTGATTAAAAAAAAGTAATGCCACGATTCCACTATACCTCTAAACAGTACAACCCCCTCACTAATAAAAGACCAGTGCTTAAAATAGTAAAGATTTGTAATTTGTGGGTTTGCTATATACTAGTAAGAATGATTTACATTTTATTTTGTCTTTGTACATTTTTGAAATAGTCTTGTATCCACCTGTATAAAAATGTGTCTGCTGTCACAGTTCTCCAGCGATGTTTGCGGAAAAACTGGGAAAACAGTTGGGCCACCCTACACGATCAGTGGCAGGATGGCTGGTCAGTAAGTTGCTCACGGTACGCAACCGTGCTCTTGAAGAGAGTGTTGTGCAGATATCAGGGATCCAACCTGAAGACACAGTGCTGGAGCTGGGTCACGGCCCGGGTCTAGGTCTGCAGTCAGCAGCCAAACTGCTCACAGCGCCCACAGGACATCTTATAGGGCTGGATTACTCAGCGTACATGCATCAGGTCAGGAATGAATACTGACATTATGGAATACAGTATTTAAATCAATTAAGTCTGTTTCTGTTTGAAGTCTTGGCAAGAAGGCAGAAAACATACGAGAAAACCCTAAGCTTCCAGTTTGGGACATTTTTGTATTTGAAGTGGGGGCTTTACAATTTTTTTTAATTGAAGGATATCTCTTTTTTTTCTCTTACAGATGGCAAGCGAGCTGATGAAGGAGCTTGTGGCCAGTGGGAAAGTGACCCTACACCATTGTGATGTAGCAGCAATGCCTCTGGTAGACAGCACTGTAGATAGAGTATTCCATTGCAACTGCTACTACTTCTGGCCTGACCTCAAAAAGGGAGCCACAGAGATTCACCGGGTAATGAAACCAGGTAAGACATAACTTTGTAACCATAACACAGACTTTATTTTCAAGGCAGATATGTTATCCGACAAGTTGTAACTTTCCGAGCAATATGGCTGTTGTTATAGTGTTTTCCTGTACAGTCATTCTTTCATCACTCTTGAACCCACCCAGGAGGCCTGATGGTGACTGGGATGAAACTGTCAAGTGTTGCTGCTTTTGCAGCAAAGCGAGTAATGCCAGGGGAGAACTGGCGCCCGGATGCCTACATGACAGCTCTGAGTGACTCTGGCTTCACTGATGTCAGAATGGAAGACAAACAGCACAAACACATTACTTTTCAGGCTATCTATGCCACTGCCTCAAAATGAGATGAGATCATCATTTGGCATCATCAATGCCAAAAATAATCAATTGTATCTATAACTGAATGAGTTGGATGTCAAAGTGATTGCAATTAAATAAAAACGAGCGGACACTATCGACATAATTCACCATTATCTGTGGTTAAAAACAGGCTTTTATCTTACATTGCTTTTTCTGTGATGGTTTACCTTCACACTCACAACTGATAATGTTAGTGTGTTACTATGGTAACATACAGTGTTTAGAGTAAAAGTGTAGGAAAAGATGAAGTTGTCTGTCTCTAATTTCTTAACCTTCTACAATATATGATTTTAAAAAATCATGTCCAGACCATGGTCCAGACTTGTAACTGAAGACAACATTAGAAAATGAACAGTAGGTGGCGATGGTGCTCAGCTGGGTACACATATCCAACAGAAGAAGAAGAAGAAGAAGAAGTTGGAGAGGGAAATCCAAAACAGCGCAGGTCCTCTGCACGGTGTTGTGAAGTTAAAAGTTGAGCTGCAACAGCGTCTGTAAAGTGGTGACAACTGTCAAATCGTTCGAAAAGTAAGTGGTTTTAATTTAAGATCAAGTTAACCATATACTATTTTAACTTTGGCGTTGTTGTTGGACTCGCAAATGTTCTAAGGTGGTCCCTAATCAAATAATTAAGCTTAGCTAGTGTTAGCTTGGAGCTCATCTAACCTAGATAACGTTGAAATAAGAAACGTAAACTGTTAATTTAACTACATCAATATCAGTAATGATTGAACACCAACGATCGTTGGTTAAAACCAAAGGCCAATATTGCCACTGTCTATGTGTTGTGATGCAGAATGCAGAAGGCTTCCCGTTTGAAGCGAGAACTTCAGATGCTGAGCACCGAGCCTCCTCCCGGGATAACATGCTGGCAGACGGAGGAACAGATAGACGACCTGCGGGCTCGTAAGTACAGGAGAACACACACGATAATGTAAAATCAACAATGTCTTAACCAGGGGTGTCCAAACTTTTTTCACCACGGGCAGAAAAACCTACGAATGGCTGGGCCACTCCCTAGAAGTGATGTATATTGCCTCATAAATTCAGTTATAAGTTGGAAAAATCAATCAAATGTAGGTAAATAATTCTTGATATTTGAAAATGCTTTAAGAACAAAACAGCCTACATCACATCTCTCCATAGTGTTTCATTTATTTTGTTACAAAAAGTGTTGGCAGCTCAGTCCTTAAAACTGAAGCTTCAGATTGCTTATAATTAGAGAAAATATGAAAGTTATATTTCAAGGTTGTTATTTACATTTGTTATTGAGCTTTTTTCTTATCAACTTAGATTTGTTAGAAAATGTTTTCAACTTTAATTGACTGAATTTATTTGAAAATTGGGCTTATTAACACATGAATACTGTGTAATATATTTGAACATGTATATTTAAGAAGTATAAGATAAGCAGAAGTTTCATATTTCATTATACTTTTTCAATTAGCATTTGGCCCCTGGGGCGTAGTTTGGACACCCGTGGTCTTAACCCATTGAAGTGTTATATAAAACTAACTAACAACAAACTATCTTTGAACTAAAACTCACTATAGGCTACTGTATTGTTTTCAAACGTATGCATTACCTACGTTGTGGAGATATGAGGATACAGTTGCAGTATTTATTAACCTACATGGTTTAAGATTGTGTGAACTAGTTTATCTTAAAAAAGCCAATTCTATATTCATTCTGTGATTGCTTTGAATTAAAGAGAGACAGTATGAATTTAGCAGAATAGGTGTGTTTCATAGTAAAACCAAGATAAGGTCACGTATAAAGAAAGATGTATATCCATCAGAGGGATTTGTTGGACAAAGTGGCAAATGCATATTAAAGGAGAGTGAATATTGTTTTAATAAATTAAATATGATACATTTCATTTCTTTTTTTGATAACTTATTGCGGAAGGTTTGAACAATTGTTAGTTAGGATCGAAACTAGCCTCTACAATTCTAAGCAGAATACTTCATTTGTCCTCAGCATTATACCACCTACAGTATTTATGATAATCTGAATATTTGTTCTATCTAGCTGATCTTCTGTTTTGTTCTTCCACTGGTTTACAGAGATAGTGGGTGGAACAGAGACCCCGTATGAAGGTGGGCTCTTCACTTTGGAGATCAAGGTCCCAGAAAGGTATATTATCTCGAAGTCTTAACATTGATATATGTTCTCTCTACCATTTCTACATTGTAAAACACTTAATGCAGTTTATAAGACTTACCTGCGGTTTTCCTCTCGTAGGTATCCATTTGAGCCTCCTAAAATGCGTTTCTTGACTCCAATCTACCACCCCAACATTGACAACTCAGGGCGTATCTGTCATGATGCCCTGAAACTACCGCCAAAGGTAATAACGGATTAATAAAAAAAAAGTTGGTTTTGATTCATTTGTATCATCTGGTTTTGTTTGTCTGCTGTCAATTTTTTATACATTTGTATTATTATTCAGGGTGCTTGGAGGCCATCTCTAAACATCTCCACAGTCCTCTCCTCCATTCAGCTGCTCATGGCCGAGCCCAATCCAGATGACCCACTCATGGCTGATATAGTAGGTCGCACATAATCTTGGATTCCCAAATATCAAATAACCTTTACAATACCATACCTTTTTCCAAGTAATAATATTGTGGTGGTTTTATTTTTTGTGTGAATATTCTTATATAAATATGTATATATCAATAGACTTAAAAATAAATGTGGACATAACAATGGCTAAGAACTATATAACACTATACTTCAAACTTGCTCCTGGAAATGATTAAATACTCTTTCCAGTATGCATTTTCAAAACAAGCCCAACGTTTTAAAAATCCCGAAACATCTTGTTTTGTTTAGTCCGATCCACTTTTACATCTTTTCACAGAAAACCTCTTACGGCCTGAAAATGGCATTTGAATTGTAATTCAATGGTGTATCCCCGCCGTATATACAAGTAAAAAGACATTTACATGTTTTGAATGCAGTCATCAGAGTTCAAATACAACAAACAGCTGTTTAAGGAGAAGGCCAGAAAGTGGACACAAGAACACGCTGTTCAGAAGAACATGGTAAGTCTTTCTGGTTTGGGTGAAGAAGTTGTAACATATTTAATGTTGTTCATGATTGAAATAATTATCCAGCTTAATGTATTTCATTATACGCTGAGCTTGTGTGTATGCTCCATTATACTTAGTGGTTGACATGATGATTGGCTCTTGCTCAGACAGCAAGGAACTGTCTCATTGAATTAGCTCTTTGTAGTGGTATATTTTACTCACAAGGTGGTGCTGTAGTACCTCGAAAGAGTGTTACCTGCTAACTTAATATTTACTTGTAACAAATAGATGCCGACTGTTTGATTTATATTCAAATGCGACTTCAATATTTCAAAATTCTCAGCTTTTGGATGTGAAGGCGCAATATATGTACTGTTCTGTCATTGACTCATTAGTTTTTATCTCGGTCTTTGTTCAGGGAGTTGAAGAGGGCAACAAAGAAAATACTCCAGGTCATAAAGCTTCATCCCGCAAAAGAGAGGCTTTCACTTCCCACCTGGAAGCAGAGGAGCCCACAAAGAAAACCTGTGTGTAGTTTGCATCTTGCTTGTTAAAGTCAAAGATCTCTCTTTTCAAGAGCCAGCAAGCCTTATACCTGTCGACCTTTTAAAGGGTATGATTTTAAATATTATATTTAGTGCTTATTCCTACTTCCTGTTACTATGTATGCATTCCTTTTTCTAAATCCAGAAATACCCACATATTTATATGTATAATTTGTATATGTGTTTGTTCGATTTATGATATTAAAGTTGAGTTTGAACACTAACTGTTGCAATTCATTTTGATACATGAAAAGCTTGGCCTCTCGGGGAATGGAGGTGTGTTTCACAGTGGTAGCATAAGCAGACTAGTGATGGCATAAAAAGTATGAAGATAATAATTTTATTAAAACATATGCTTACCAGTTGTATACAAAGTATGTACATCCTAAATAGCAAGTTTTTTTTACAAACTAAGAATTTATTTCTTAATATATAAAATTATATATTTGCTGTTCATCATATAAAAAAGAAGACAAACATCTTAAGGCTGTAGTGAGTCAATACCATGCTAGTTCAGAGGTAGTTACATTGTATGTACATATTGCTAGCCTACTCTAATGTCTGTTGAAAGATAGCTACATCCCATTCAGTCTGTATAACTGCATTTCTCCTATTTGCATATATGAGACAGAATATTGTAAACCAGATGAAACTGCAATCTGTTTTGTTTCAACATTCTCTGACAGCTACCACATAGATGCAAAGAAATATATCTGATAATAACATTCCTTATTTGTTAGCTTACTCTGGTAAAAATGTCCTGGTGTGTCTGATAATGACTCCCTTTCTTTGAAACAGACTTAGCAATAGGATAGAACTTATATTTGATAACAAACAAATAACATAACCACTTAGAATACAACCGAACCATCTGTAACCTCTAAGCTGCATGTCACATAATCACATTCCAGTATAAACATGTACACTTAAAATTCTACTGGTTCTACCTTTATTCCCCCCTGGCTAAACCATTGATTTGTCTGATGCTTAGAATTTCTTTGAAGTTAACATTTTAACTTCTTTTTCTCATGCAAGTTCATGTCTGATGCAGTCCACTGGGTACCGTCTGAAATAGTCTTTTTGTTTTCAGACGTGATGTATTGTGGTATTTCCTTTAAATGTCTCAGGGAACTTTTAGTGACACTCTCCATTTTAAGATGCACTTTGTAGTGTTCTTATAGACTTCTCTCTAGTGCACTCTCTGTGGGGACTCATTCTGAGATGCTTGCAGATTGCTTGCTGCTGCTTGATGATGGTCCTTTAGTGTCTTTAGTGTCCCAGCTATTCAGACCGCTAGCATGGAGGCTCATGGATGAGAGGTGAGGGAGGGAGTTGTGGTAGAGTGATACAGAGGACAAGTGTTATGAATCGTCTCTTGATCCAAACTCTTCAGACATTCATCATCATTCTGGCTCCCTCTTCCTGTCACCCTGTCTCTATCCCTGGCTGTGGGAGGGGGTATCTGACAAGGGATGAGAGGAACGGAGGAAGTAGAGGAGCAATAGGAAAACCTGATTGCATCCAGTCGGGGTTGGAGAGTGGACCCCCCACTATAAAGGGCGTCAGAATCTGCATGTGAGACCTGTGTTGACGAATCGGAGCAGGAACTCTTCTCCGTCGCCACAGAAACAAGGGAGTCCATGGTGCGGTCCCGACGTAGCTGTGGACGTGCTTTAGGATGAGGCCAGAAGAAAAACTGGGACTGGTCTCGTGTGAAAAGGAGGAAGAGGAGGGGGTTGAGGCAAGCAGGCAGGGGCTGGAGAAGCAGTAGAACAGATTTTAACACCTCCTCACCCAGAGAGAGTAGACCCAGGAGGGAGCAAAGGGAGAGAAACGCTACTGGTACATAGAGAAGGCCATTTGTGAATATTAGCCAGGCAACATGTTTGATCATAGCGCAGTCCCACAGGCCGTCACATTCTCCCCTCAATAACTCCCAGTATAGGCGGATGTATGAGCCTGTGACGATAAGCAGGCACAAGGTGTTCATCATTATGAGGGATAAGGGAAAGCCCAGGGAGGACTGGAGTCGAGAGGATGTTGGTGGCAGGGGCGAGGGAAGGCAGAAAGGTGACGAGCCGTACTCCCCAACTCCTACCAGTGGGAGAGAAGCAAGGGTGAGGGAGAGAGTGAGGCAGAATAGTGCACATGTGCGCACACTCCCAAGGGATGGGGACTTTCCATAGGCACGGGCACATGTCACGCTCACACCACACTGAACAGCTGCCAGAGTCAGCAGCAACACACTTGCTTCAGACGCAAACACCCAGACCCATCCTGTCGCCTGACAACCAGGACCCCCCTCCCAGCGGGCACCGTGGTGACCAAACTCTCCCAGGGTTAGAGCGTCCACTAGGGCCAGGGTGCATGTACACACACCCGTCAGCAGGTTGGAAGCACCCATGCAGGCCACAGTGAAGCGGAGAGGTGAGAGGTAGCCGGATGAGCCAAAGAGGGAGAGGAGCAGGAGGGAGTTCCCAAGAAGAGACACCAAAGAGATCGACCACAAGCCCACACGAACCAGCCAGCTGCCCAACAGAGAGTCGCAGGGTCGGAAAGGACCTGCAAACACAAAAATCATCAGCTGTAGATAAGCATGGCTTAATGTCCTTACACTGTTGTTGGGACAAAACAATCTGAAGGCCGATTGATGAGAGATTAATTATCATTACTGCAATCGTACCTGGAGTTGGTGTGCATTGAACACTGGTCTGTAGTTTGGATTCCTCTATTTCCATTTGGAACTCCTCCAGGTCAGGATCATCTGGAATAAAGCATTGTTAGCTTGTGCAAGATTTCGTGACAGCTTTTTCTCCATGTGTATGTATAAAAAGTTAATTCATTTTACATTGTGTGTGGCATTGGCTTCAGGGCGTAAAGCATTAACATTATTTTGCAATGAAGTAAAACATATTAATCGAGGAAAATTGGCACCAGCCTGATATTTGATCGGATAGTTTTTATTTTTTCATTTGGCCCATGAATTAAAGGCTGATACCTCTTTATCATTAACATGCGGTGGTTTTGTTATTGTATCCGTTGGGACACCCAGCATTGTTTATTTTCAGCTTTAATGGTGTAAGTTTAATGGTTTTAATTTAAATGTAATGTTGGTTTATTGGTGCTTATATTTTATTCCTACCACAGGAATGCGTTGAAGGGTCAACATTCGACTGTAAGTGTGTTTCAGCTGCCAGGTAGCTGCGGTTTCAGCCAGGCTCTGACATGTTTAAAGTGGGCTTGTGTCAATAATTCGGCAATGAGCAGAGACATATGGGGCTCAGATTTCTGTCTATTACTTTACTCCCATTCCAAGTGTGTACCATGTGTGTTATACTGCACATATGTTTGCACAGATAATGTAATTGCGTGCTTTCTTACAGTGTGTGTCGGCGTGCATAGGGTACATGGCTACTGTACGCTTGTGTAGGTCCTCGTCAGTGTTGCTCTGCTCTGTGTCCCACTGGCTCGCCGGCTTGTAGCTATCACAGGATCCGTACACACAGCACTGGTAGGCATAAGGCATCTCTATTACCCTGTAACAAATAGATGGAACAGTATTGACCAGGAGAAACAACGGCACAACTTACACATGCATGAAGACCTACATTAAAATTTGAAATCAACCTTAAGTGCTTATAACTCTGTTTCTGAGTTCATATGAACCCATAATCTAGGGAAAATAAGGTGAATTTGTCAGTTGTCTTAATCAATTTACGTTGTGGATGGCTGTATGCAAACATTTACTTTGCATTGCTTTTGAAATGTCTCTGCCAGGAGTTCTGTTTTGGACAATGTTCTACAAATGCTGACATTGCCACTTGATCGCCTGCCCGCTCCTATTTCCTTGAAAAGTTCTCTTCATTTTCACTGCTGCTTTTCAGGCCTTCGGGGCATATTTTCAACAAGAATTAACTTGCTGACTACAAATGCTTCCTCATTGTTGAAGATCTGCTCAGGAATAGCTTGCAGGAAAAACGTGTGATTAAGTTAATTGTCAACCTTGGCTGCTCTTGGTAAATAAAAGGTGTTAATAGAAAATTGTGAGAGGTAGGATAATTAAAGGGATGGGAAGTGGTGCATTGTTCTGTACAGCCACAGGTTATACACCTGGGTATGTTATCATCTTATGTAAGTTGTTGATGAAAAACCAAAATACATGTAAGAATTTAGAAACATTACGTAAGAGAGAATAACAGGGGCTTGATGGTGTGTTTTTACCTCATACGGGGGAAGTAATCAGGACTAAAGGCCTCGTATAACTCTGTGTTGCCTCTTAGCTTGAGATGGGTGAGACCTCCCAAACCTGCAACAGGTACTGAGCTCAGGCGATTCTCAGTCAGGTCCCTGAAATTGAGAAAGAAAAAGTACAGGTTGGGTATCAGATCAGGCCTTTTACAAAGTGTGTTTTCATTACATATATTACAGAGAGTCATCCTTCGTAACAAAAAGTCCTTGTCTCTTAGAAATGTTAAACTGTTCAGACAAGGCTCTATCAAATTACCTCCAGATAACACTTCCTGTCAGATGTAGTCGATCTGCTTGTTTAGCTACGCATACTTTAATCAGTCTTCACACAATGAAGCAGTTTGTATTGGCATGACCTAAGATGAATCTCCTGGCCACACAGAGGGGTTTTCAAACAATAAATGCATATCAGTGTTCTCTGTAGACTCAGCCAAAGACAACAGTCAAGAGTGGAGTGTTTGTATAAGGCGACGCCTCTGACATCCAGCTTAATTTTAATTAAAGATGCACAAATCCAGCAAGCGTTTGGGGATTAAAGGAAGCTGCTGAATGTACAAATGAAAGAAAAAAACATTCTTGTTGATAGTCATATATCTGTGTATACTCACAGTTTGATCAAAGAGTGAAGCGAGACAAAGGCATCCAGGTGGATCCACTCGATCACATTCCAGCTTAGATCACTGACAGAAATGTAAATCCATATAAGAGAAACAGACGGAAAGGAATTGTAATAAAACATTGAATGTTGGATACTGATCACCACTAGATGTCAGTAATAGGTAATAAGTCTACATAGTTTGATCTTGACACATGCTTCCTAACCTTGTTGGCTTATATATAGCCCCCTAAAAGGCACCAAAGCCTCTACTTGGTACATTTAATCATACTATGAAGGATTTGCCTCCACAGATAGTTTTATTTGGATATATCTATAAAATAGTTAACACTACCAAAAAGCTATGAGGAACATCTTGTGTAGAAGAATTATGTTTTGTTTTCCATCTCTTCTATCCTATTAATCATCCGATAGATATATCTTCCAACCCCTTGACGGGGTCCTGATCTGACCAGGGTTGTGAATTCCTGAAAGAGACGATGAATGGGTGAGGTTTGCGATGTGTTGGAGAGGTTACAACAAGCTTTACTTACATTGCTCTTAGGGACGTGAGCTGCTGGAAGGTACTTGACTCTATCCTTCTGATTTGGTTATGCTGCAGCCCTCTGTTGAGAAAAAATATACAAACATACATTGAAACAATGCAAAGTGGGCAACGAAACATAGGACTGTCGATTTTGATGCATAAGAGAGTGTATACTTGTTTGGCGTTAAACTCACATCTCTTGCAGTGCAGAGCAGTGGTGAAAGCTGGGCAGATCCTCGATCTGGTTGTAGGACAGCTCCCTACAACACAAAAAGCACACACAAGGAACACATAAACACAGTGACCAGCTGTGGATTTATAGCGTGGGAAATTACGTGGTCTACAGGATTATTTGAGTGAACAGTCGATTCTGTGAGCAAGGCGATATAGCACGACAATAAAAAAACAAAAATTCGGGAGGTGATTGAATTTCATAGCACAGTGATTGTACAAATGATTGCCTGGGGGCACAACTCTCCACAGTTGAGTTTTGTGTATCAGTTGAACCTTGCACTCAACCCCCCCTACTGTGTATGTGTACTCACAGCACTCGGAGGCGAGGCAGCTGCTCACATAGATCCAGAGGGAGAGCTGATAGACCGGCCCGAGTCAGCGTCCTATAGAGAAAAGGAGAAACCTCTGATCATTGTTGAAGTGCAAGCAAGCGAAAGCTTCCCCCAGTCCTGTGAGTCTAACTTGGTCAGACAGAAAGCTGTGTAGATTCGCCAAACCTGTCACTGCCTGGCATAGCTAGCTTACCCCTTCTTTATCTGAGTGTCTTGGGCTGTCTCGTTCTTTCCTATAATCTTTAAACACATATATCCTCTCTTTTTCGTCTCCTGTTCATCCTTGATCCCTAAAGATGGCTTTGACTTTATCTCTCAACACTCTTTTTTTTGTCATGTTTTTTTTCTACTCCCAGGATTGTGTCTCTGTCCTCAAGATCAGTGCCTCACCCATCCTTTGCTGTAGTATGTGGCGTGGACCAATTGAGAAAATAATACTGTGTGTGTGGGGGTGGGGGTGGGTGGGGATTATTCGGTTAAAAGAGACACTCACAATATTTCCAGGCTGGTGGTTCCTTTCAAATCGGGAAACTCTTGAATCTGGGTTGCCCCGTTAAGGGAACTGCAGCAACAGGGAAAAAAGTGTCAGAAAAACTCCCTCCCTCTCACTCTCTCTCTCACAGCTCATTTCAGCCATCAAACTTTTCCTCCAACATCAACACATGCTGTTTTGGCTGTCTCACAAGACATCATAAGTCACACCATTCAACATGTTCTTACAACACACTCTTTCTTACCACATCAGCACTGAGCACAGCCATACGCTAACACAACATCATTCAGTAGGCCATTACACATGTCCACTCAACTCTCGCTGCTAGGGACAGAGGATGATTTAAACAGTGTTTGGGCTAACTCACTGGAATGGTTCCTACTGACCACATACTCACAGTGTGTGCAATTTAGGTAAGAACTGGAAAGCGGATTTTCCCACAAACTGGATGGGATTCTCATAGAAATGACTGCAAAAAAGAAAATTGATTTGGACATGCTGATTAATTTGTTCAGGAGTGAGTTGTACTGTACACATGGTGTTAACAATATAGCAATTCTTAGTTTATCTAATACAATGTGTACACATTTAATCATTAAACTCACATGGTTTGGAGTTGAGGATTTCCCACAAAGGCCCTCTCAGGGATGGCTTTGATATTGTTGTTATGGAAGCCCCTGCAAATATAAAAACATACAGTTAGACAGTTTATCAATATGTTTCTGATTTGTTGTATGTGTGTGTGTGTGTTTGGACGAGCAAGAGGCAGGTCATATGTCATGTTGCACCTGCCATTGCACAGCTGAATTTTTTTTTGTTGGATAAATGAGATGTAAACACGCACACATATGCTGTATCTGTGTCACATTTGCAAGTCGCCGAACATCTGCTGAAGCTGAGGGGAAAACATGGTGTGTGTGTGCGTGCGTGCGTGTGTATGTGCAGGCAAGCGGGTGCGTGGGTGTGTAGCCAGCACCTGCTTAGGGCGAGAGAGATTGTATCCGAGTGCCACATTAAAATCACTTAACGGGATTACTTTGGATAACGCAACCATGTCATAGTCATGTCAGGCAGGTGTGTTTTTGTGTATGTGTGTACTCACAGTTCCTGAAGCTTACTCAGAGTCCGGATGGCCACAGGAAACTCCTGCAGATCATTGTAGTTTAAATCCCTGAGGGGAAACAGTGTAGTAAACAGTTATGATTATGTAATATGTTAAAAGGCTTGATGGAGATTTTTTTCTCTGTAATAAAGATTCAACCATATATGATGATTTTATTTCCATTTGTCATAAAGTGTGCCTGATTACATATGTAAGTGCAGCTATTTCCTCTCCACTATATGAGGCCGACAGCTGTGGATTGTGAAGTTTGGATTTGACCTTTGACCTTAGCTGCTCTGACCTAATTATCTAGGTCTGTGTCTGATTAGTTTCCAAGGAAACGCTGTATCAAAACAACATTAGCTACAATATAGTTGACAGTGCATACGCAGGTGGCAGGAAAAGGGGTTTTCCCATGTAACTTGTGTACAGTATATAAGTATTTGCTTTATTTGTACTTCTATACATGGGAAAAGTGTGTGTGCATGTTTGTGCATACATATTAATTGCCATATTAAGACATGTGCCTCGGTATGCGTCTTTGAAGATTCTTAGCCATCGAGGTCAAAGGATATCTAAAGGAACTAAGCCATTTTCCTGGATTTGTTTTCATTCTCTTCAAGTATAAGACAGAAAATGCCTTTGATGAAATACTTCTAGATATGCATGTTTGTTTTCCCCCAAGTTCTAGGGTATGTTTGCGAAATGTTTGTCTGTCTTTTTCTGCTCTGGCTTGTTTGCATATGCTGTTTTGTTTTCCAGCAGTCCCCTGGACGGCTCCTCTTAGTAATGATTTTATAATACACACTAGGGGTTGGGGAGGGTTGTAGTGATGCAGATGGTCTCTCGTATTTCTCATAAGCGAGGCTGCTGTGAAAGATTAACCCCTCATACCAGTGCAATCCCCAAGTCAATGACACCTGTCATCTTATCCTGCTGAATCATCTGTCTCTCGCCGCTGACGGCCCAAACACTTTAACACACACTATTCTGGTCAAGAGAACTCCCTTCGTCTTTTTCTCATTCTCCAGTTTCCCTTCATCCCCTAAAGCATGGCTCTCCTGACTTGCACCCTGTTCCCTCTCAATTCCCAGCTTGGATAATGGCTTTTAAGTTGAGTGTTAAGCTGGCCGCTTGTGAGGGCACAGGCAAAAGTACTTGCTTATCTGCACACACACACACACACACACACACACACACACACACACACACACACACACACACACACACACACACACACACACACACAGGCAGGTGCCCACACACATGCTCATAAAAAAGGAACGTATCATTTTTTACACTTCAACAGGTTGTTAAGCAGCATGCCAAAAACTGTGTTTTCTTCAGACCTACACAAATTTTGCAGACACAGTTTAACTGTCTCCGTTTCTCTTGCTTTCTTTCTCCACCTCCTACAGTATATATGGCTGTCAGTTTCCAGCGGTTTCCATATTGGTCTGTGGTTAGGATTTAGTTATCGAAGCTAGGGCACGTATAATCAAACAACTCTCCTGTAGCCATACTAAGCCAAATTTGACTTCCGCGCTGCTAAGCAATTACTTTAACAAAACACAGAGGAATCTGTTGATGTTACTTTAATGTAATCAAAGGAACTTTTCATCTTCACATTCCTGTCATTCATCTGTTGGTTGTGGTTTTGATAAAACGTTCAAGCACCTGCTAAAATTACTGGGACATTAATCATTATGACTATTATTTTGCGCTCCACTTAATTTTTTATTGGCACACTTGGTACAAAGGATTTATAAAAACACATTAACTCTAGGTGTTCCAAGTAACACCAAACGGCTGTAGTTAGACAGAATCTGATATCAATTGGTTATAGGAACTTTTTGAAGTTATTTCACAGGGAGTTCTTTATATGTCTTACTTATTCGAAGGCAATGTGCTTTTAGGAAATATGACTATGCATAGTTAATGTTGATACATTGTCATCACGAGGCCAACATTGGGTAAACAAAATATGGACTCACTTGGACCAGTACACTTACCCACACACTTCAGTGGTGTGGGTAAGTGTATATGTTTCTGTGAAAATCTCTTAAATTAAACTTGCAATCATCACGTACTGTATGTCCAAAAAGATGTGCACATGCATGCAAGTGTCTGTGATTATGTGTGTGGGAGATACTCACAGTGTCTCCAGACTGTGTAAACCTTCAAAACACCTCGCATCCATGCTCCGGATCTGGTTGTTATGGAGATGCCTGGAAAAAAGACACAAGTATTTAACTAGAAATCAGAAATCACTTTCTCAAAAAACGTTTTGACACTACAATCATCACTGCCCTCAAAGAAACAAATATAGAGAAACTCAGGAGAACTTTTAGTCAACTCACAGTACGACAAGGGCGGAGAGGTTGGTGAATGCATAATCTGGGATATGTGTGATCTGGTTGAGGGCCAGGGTCATGGCCTGCAGGGAGGGCAAAGAGTCCAGGGCCGTCACTGGGATCTCTGTGAGGGAGTTGTCGTCCAACCACAGGTGTCTCAAGGAGCGGACCCCTCTAAAGGCCCCAGCCGGAACCTCAGACAACAGGTTAGCATCAAGACGCCTGCAGGGTGAAGGAAACCGAGCTTAGCAAGATAATCACCAAGTCTAAGTACTGTATGTTTGCGTTTGTGCATGTGTAGCTGACTGTGCTTATCAAGGATTAGTGGTTGTGTGTCATGGCATTGAAACACTTTGGCTTCCAGGAAGGTTATTAGGAGAATTAGACATCTTTCATTCTCCTTCTTTCATCTTTGCTGCAGCGTCTTAGAAGCTCCTCTTTATTATTTATTCCCATGCTAAATAAGCTACGTACGTCTAGCTCCACCTGTACAGGCATGTATGAAATGTAAGATGAGAAAAAATGCATATTAAGTGTGTAGGAACTGTTGTAACGGGCCTGTTTTATTCCACCTCATTTTATCACTGTTGCGTAACGCACACTTTCCTCCATGCCTGGAAATTGTAATGATAGATGGAGGGGGGAACAGTCGTAGACACATCTTCAGCTGTTCCTCCCTCCTTTACTCTTTCCATTGAAGTTCCGCTCTCGCCATCAGTTCCATCACTAATACACAAACACAGCATCAGACACACATGCACTTTCATCTCTCCAACCATACCAGACCTATCGAACCTTTGTCCCCTCTCTCCCTTGATGCTCTCAACCCACAGGCAACAAGAGTGGACTGTGACACACACCCCCCACGTAAATGCACACATGCATACAGACTGTCCATAGTGATGAATGATCCCCTCAGGGCTGAGTTGACAGGCTGAGACCACTTCCTCTCGCTATTCTTCTTTCTTTGGCCCTTCACACTCATTCATTAATCTCCCTTTCCTCCCTCCAGGCCCCTCTCAAACTCACGTTTTGTTTCTTACATCTTCATTCTTGCACTGCCAGCCGCTGCAAACCCGTTTGCGTCTTACTTCTTAACTCTTGTTTCGCCTTTCAAACATCCTCCCTTATCTATCTTCAACTGTGGTTCTTTCATGCTGGTGCTCCAGCTCCTCCTAAGTCTCCTCACCCCTTGGAGGTTTCACCAAACAAACAGCATTATCAAAGTGAAATCTGAACTTGAACTTTGAACTCTTGGCTTTTCTCCCCAGGGAAATGTTCCATCAGGAGAGGCATATGTATACACTGGCAGATGCTCGCACACAGGGAAACACCCTCTAGCGTACATGTAAATATGCATGAATGGCTTCAAGAAATGTTCATCTTGTCTACTTCCTGAGCACACATTTTTTGCCATGCTTAACATCTTTCTTGTGTATCCTGTGCACCCCGACTGTGGACATCGTTTGTCCCTGACCCAAATCGCAGGATGAAAGCTACGGAAGACCCTTCAACTTTCGGGTTTGTTCTCCAGGGCAAAATAATAATTGCTCCTCTGGGTGGACCTGCCAGGTCTCCAGAAGGTCCAGACAGAACCAGGAATGTTCCACAGAAGCCAATAAAGCAGCAACTATTTCCTGTCCATCACATCAAAGTCTGAGGTACGATTACGAGAGAGAAATAAAGACAGAAGAGTATGTTCTCATAAGAGATCCAGGATATCTGTGGTCTTGCCTCCTCTTGTTCAATTCTCCACATGGCCAACATTTTATACTACAAGGAGCCTGAAGGAGCGTGGTTCACTACCATTGTGTCAAACCTATAAAAATAAGGTTACTCTGATAAATGTGGCTTGTGGAATTCCTGGTGATGGTTGTCATGGCTAAGTGGTGATTACGCTGCTTAACCCGTGGGCTGGGACACAAAACAAAAACACTCTCTGTCCCCTCATGATTGCAACAACAACACTAAACACTGGGTTGGTATTGAAATCTTTAAAATGGTGATACCATTGTCTAGATCCCCCCTCATCCCTGCTAACAAAAGGCTTTTGGCCCGAATTAGGACATCATTTATGTTTAGATAGAAGCCTGCTAAGTGTATTTATACCAATTTTCAAACCCATGTGCTGTCTCAGGTGATGACTCTCTTTCTTTTTACCTGCTGTGCTTTATGTCAGTGAGAGCCGCCGACAAGCTTCACTCTCCGAAGCCTTTCCAGTAATCTTTCTCTTTCTCGCAAGCTTATCATTACTGTAATGAGAAGGTGTGTGTGTGTGTGTGTGTGTGTGTGTGTGTGTGTGTGTGTGTGTGTGTGTGTGTGTGTGTGTGTGTACTTAAAAGCATCTATGTGAAGAAATTGAAAGACCACACACACACACATGCTTGTGCAAACACATACACATAGATTGAAAACAGACAGAGACATCATTATGAAGTTAGACATACACTCACACAGGGACATCCTGAGCCATAGCGGCTGCTCGTAGCAGGTATAGGTCCTACAGTATGTGTGTATAGATTTGAGTGTGTTTGTGTGTACGTGTGGTTACAGACTCAATGATTGTGTTGAGGGAGAGCAGGCCTGCTTAATACCAGACAGGGAAACGTTGTAGGCGGTAGAGGAGTAACATGTGCACACCCCCTCTATGTAACTCTAGCAATTTGAGTGTGTCTGCGTGATGAAGGAAACGGCTTTATGGATATTTACAAAGAATTATTAATTTGGAAAGCAGGGATGTGGAGTACGTGTGCGGTACAAAGTTGGGACAGACGGGAAGGGGGTGAGGAATTACAGATGAGGTGGTCCACATGCATCCGCCCAAACATTCTCGCTGACACACACACATACACACACGTTCAGTGACCCCACATATGAGACAATTATGCCACCAAACACTCTCATTAGCCAAGGGGATAGCAGTGTGGGTGGTGGGAGAAGAACGGAGGAGAGGAACGGAGGAGGAAGAGAGAGGGAATTGATGGAAAATGGGGTTGTTTCACAGCTCATTGGAGATGCTCTCCCTGGCCTGCAGTGTCTGCTGTTTCCCTCATGGCTTCCAGATGCTACCATGAACTGCACTGACACAGTCTGTGACTCCTACCGTCAGTGCAGAAGTATTGGGGTATGGTCTGTAATATGTCAGTGGTACTCTATACCTGCACTGCGGTTACAGCTGGGATGAGTCTGTGGGTGGCCAGGGGATGTTTCATTCCCTGCTAGATGAGGTAGAGAAGCGCGATTAGTGTGTGTGTGTGTGTGTGTGTGTGTGTGTGTGTGTGTGTGTGTGTGTGTGTGTGTGTGTGTGTGTGTGTGTGTGTGTGTGTGTGTGTGTGTGTGTGTGTGTGTGTGTGTGTAAGAGAGAACAACTCACAGGGACAGCAGGTTGGGTAGGTCCCATGGAGCATCATCAGGAAGTCTCTCCAGTTGGTTGTTTTGGAGCATCCTGAAAGGCACATTATTCAGTTTGTAGGTAATAGCTCTAAATGTGATAAAATGTACGTGGTGTGCGTGAGGGCACATCAAGCAGAACAAATAATTCCATCCTGAGGGAAATCTGACACAAGAAGGAAAGGGCCAGTGAAAGCTTGAAGAGAAGCAGAGAATGAAGGGTAGAAGGAAAGAGAAGCTCCTTGGGTGGGCTGCTGATGTCATTCTCAGAAGAATGGAGCAAAAAGCTAGGAGGAAGTGGGGAGCAAACAATACCCTCTCTCTTTCCGCTCCCTCCCTCGCTTTTCCTGTCTTTTCCTCCCTCTTTCTTTGAAGTTTTGATCATCACCAGTCGTCTGATATTAGTTCACAAGGCGTGTAGTCTCCAGTGTACTACTGTCAGTGGCGTTATGCCTTCATTGGGGCATTACCGTGTCTCAATATCATCAAAAGTCTAAACAGTTTAACTTCTTAGTTTATGGTTATTACACTATAACATCTATATTTTCTTTATGAATATAAAATAGCTCATAACAACAAATTCCTGCCAAGTAGGATAACATTTATAATTTGTTTTGTGATTTAATTTGTTTTGTTATAAGTCAAAGTGTATTCTGGGTTAAAACACATATTTTCTTTAGTTACTAACATGGCTCACTATGTCATAGTGAAGTGTATTTGACTATAGCCTCCTTTGTAATATACAATTAGCGCTTCTGGGACGATCATGCCATGATAAATACATTGAATTTGGTCTATTTCAAAGACAATTCCCTACAGAGAGTATCACTGTACTCCACTATGTGTTCATAAGCTCCTGCGTGTTCTCATGCATGCTTGTGTGCGTGCATGTGTCCACAAGGACCTTTTGGGTACCGTACACGAGGTCAGCGGTCCATTTGTGTTTGACACGGCCTGACTCTAACTAATATATTGAGGAAGGAAACCAACAGCCCTGCGGTCAAAGAAACCGTCCAAAGTATGCTAGGGCGTTATAGTGTGAAGCATGAATGTTTGCAGACGTTTATACATTCAGGGTCTGTGTGTCCTTCTGCTGTAATGATAAAATAGCCCCATATTCATGGCTGGTTCACTCATTCTGTCTCAGTGAGTTTCACAACACAAGATGAAACCTGTGAGCCTGGTAATCTCCCTGATCCCTTAAAATTACAAACCACAATTCTTCTGCTAAGTTTATATTCCGTGGCAGGGCTTTCAAACTTTTCTCAGCAATGGTCCAAAGGTATTGAGGTGATTGCCAAGGATCATGAAAACCTCCCTAATACCCTTGTCTCAAACCCAGTAGAAACATAGCAGCCACTCATTAGAGTCAGAAAGTGCCATGGCTTTTATGGTTGCTTTGCATTTTTGGGGGATTTAATGCTTAACGGCAGTGCTAACAGTCGGTGGCCATAGATCATAAGGCTATGATCATACTACGAGAAATGGGGTGTTAAGAGAACAGTTTTGAAAGATGTTTTTAAGTGATCATTTTATTCACTTGCTGTAATCTCAGTGGGTGGTGAGGCTGGGAGGTCCCTGTGTTACACCTGTGTGTGTGTGTGTGTGTGTGTGTGTGTGTGTGTGTGTGTGTGTGTGTGTGTGTGTGTGTGAAAATGAAACAGGGCTTGGGAATGAGGGAACCAGCCCATAAACTTTAACTACATTTAATGATGCATGGCCTGTGTGTTTTATTCAAGGCAGGAGCACAACTATATCCCCCCGCAATGCTAGAGTGGAACAACCCACTTGGGATGAGGACTGGACCACTAGAGTGTGAGAAGGTGGAAGAGTGGAGGATGTTACTTACAGAACTTTGAGGTTGTGGAGACCCTGGAGAGCGTGGCCTGAGATATACCTCAGCTGATTCCCTGAGATACGCCTGGGAGAGAGAAACAGAGATCAAAAAAGAGGAAATGAAATATGAAAGTGAAAAATGAAATATTACAACACGCACAAAAAACATTACAAGTCTCTTAAGGAAGGTTTTGCCATTTGCTTTATTCTACGTTTTTGGATTGAGCTGTGATGTGACTTCATCCTTGTGTTCGTGCTCTGGGGTTACTGCTGGGGCAGTATGCAAATAACACTATTCGATTCCCTTCAGTGTGGTTGCCATTGGCCCAAAGCACACCCTGAAACCTTAACCAATCCTGGGAGCTCTGATGAGTGAAGAAAGACTGAATTGAATGAGACTGAAACTGGGTCAGCAAGTGCGGCCTGAAAGTATATTTGCTTGTGCGCATGAAAGCTTATGTGTGTGTCTATATATTGTGTATACGATATATGCGCACATGAGAGCGTGTGTGTGCTATTTTCCATGACCTTGAAGTAAATTGGGCCCGTTCTGAGAGGCCTTGAGGACATAGAGGTAGAGAAACCACACACATTCACACAAGCAATCCAATCAGTTTGTTTATCAAACACAGCACCTAATGGTCATTTGTGAGTGTGTATAAGATGTCCAAATAAATAACATTCAGTCCAAGAGTGTAACTTTCAAGGTCACAAGCTGGAAGCACAATTTGGACACATATTTGGTCTTCACAGCTTGAGACCACCCACGACCACCAACTTCTATTTAACACACACAAGTTAAAATGTACTGATTGACATCCTCCTGCTTACACCATTGCCCTGCAGGGGACATTTGCCTGACATTTTAGTCTTATGCTAAGCATCCTGTTTCTGGCTGACTTGTTCCATCAGTGCAAGGATATTGAAATATCGATAAAACACTCTGCTTTCCTTTCCAAGCCACTATCATCCAGATGGTAACAGTCGACGGCTCACAGCAACTCCCTCTGACATCTGATACTCATGTCAACATGTCTCACGTATTGCAGTCAGTCTGTGCAGTGACAAACCACACTACCCCATCCGCGCCTGCCAGATCTCACACTCAGAGCAGTTAATGTAGAGCTGGTATTTATCAACACAAGCACACACACAAACCTGCATCGGCATACTATTATGCGACATGGGCTGATCGTTATCCAGGCTATTGTGGTGCCTTTTAGTCATGCCTTTCAAACCACAGTCAAAACAAATTCAAACCAACTTAGACAAAGTCACAAGATGTCTCAATATACATTTCACAGACATTGAGCACACAGATGACAGAGTTGATCTGCAGTGACTGCATCTCTCTGTCTTCACATATTATAATATGTATTATTATTTCAAAACAAAGGAATTCAATTTGCTCTCACATCTGATTTTCAACTTGTATACTGCCTTTATGTTGACGATAGCTGAAGATAGGTCTGCTACTTCAATACCATTTTAGTTCCGCTTTTGCACAAACGGGTCACTGGGGACCATTTCAATAGCTACTTTTCCAGAGGTAACTGTTTCAATGGGTTTTGCTGAGGGCCTAATGCCAGTAAAATAGATCTAAGCATATTTCTAGACCTCTAGGTGGCTTCTTTTATTTCCTGTTCAAACACAATGATTAGTTGCTGACGTATTGGACAAAAAAAAAGATATTATATTATTTCAGCGGGGTGATAAGAAGGGCCAGTAATTTAGAGTTTTAGAAAACAAACATTGTTGTTAAGGCGATGGTATGATGTGCATATCCTACTGCCAACCAGCCTTTCTCTATTACCGGCACTGTTGGAGCCAAAACAGCATTAGAATGAAATCATGTTTGTTTTTTTGCAGCCATCATTTATCAAATGGCTAATTATGTTGATAGTGAAGATGGATATTGACAAAGGAAAGAAATGTTAAAACGTTCTTGATAGACATCAACAGAACACTGGCACTTGCTACTGAACAACCGTTTCCATGATATCAGTGTGTGCATTTATGTGTGTACGTGTGTGTAAGGGATCGTACGCATGAGTGAATGTTCCCCACTTAGCCTCCTAGTCTTTCCACATCAATCTCATTCTAATGAAAGGCGCCTTGCTCTTGTCAAACCATGTCTCCAACAGTTTTTTCTTTTAAATTGATTTGGGGATGGTTAACATTTTTCTTGGCGCTTGAATTGCATTGATACAAATTCCACCTAAGCATTACTCAGCTGTATTGACATGATTAATATATAAAATAACAGAGGCCAGTTTGTATTTCAAACGTATGAGAGAGTAGTGGGAGGGGTGGTATCAGACATGAGACCGCCCCGCTATGAGGTCTGATCAGTGATTATTCTATGTATCTCTATGTTCTATTACCTCAAAGTAATAAACAAAAAACAGAACAAAGACTTAGACAGCAGAGTAAGCATCATATGTTGGGATACTATCTTAGATAATGATAGGACATCAAAGTGGCAGCATGGTGGCTGATAGGAGTCAATGATGAAAGCAGAAGTCAAGAAGAAACAGGTCTTATCAGAGAGAGGGCTGTGTGTGGGTGTGTCTGTAAGTACATATTTATGTATGACCTTTTTCACCCTTGGTCCATCAATAGCAATGTTATCCCTCCTTCTGTTCGGAGTTCCAGCCTAAGGGTCAACCACTTAACCTGGCGTTAACCTCTGAAATTACTTGAGTAAAATATAGACATGCGGTAATTTGTGTGTGTAGGTGTGTTTTATGGGTACGTGTTTGTGTGAGAGAAAGAGTCAAGCAAACAAAAAGTAATGTTGGCAACGCTAAAAGGAAAAGTTTTAATTGACCTAGATTGTCCCAGCTGTGTGGTGCACCTGGAGTATCGAGACAGCCAATATTGTAAACCCTTAAACCTCGCCTACGTTATACTGCTGGCCTGTGAGCAGACAATCTCATCACCTAGAGGAAGTCGAGCAGGGCAGTGCTGGCCTCTACTCTCCACTTCTCTCATCTTACATTTGGATTTCATTTGTTGAGAGTGCCTGAGTGTGCTCGCAATGGGCTGAATGGATATTCCAGAGTCTCAGTCTTGAGCTGATAACGGGAGATTGCACCATATTCCACGCACTTAGGCTGTAAGATCATGCGTCAAACAAACCAAGGCCAAAATTGATGGAGGGTTAAGAAATCCAGTGCGGTTTATTTTCCTGTCAGGACATTTTAAATGGACTTATTTAATTTCTGTATTTAGGTGAGTGATGGCTATAGATAATTATAAGATGAGCATGACAGACTCTAACTAAATGGCTAATTATGAAGGGAGTCAAAGAAAAAGGGCAAAGTGAAATGAGATTTCCAGAATTACGAGCAGCCAGTACTTTGATACTGATGATAGGTGGAGAGCATGATTGCCTTCAAAATTGTTTTCAGGAAGGGCAACAGTTTCTCTGCTAGTTCCAAGATGCAATTAGATCGGGAATAGATCTTTGATACTGTGAAACATTTAAAGAGAGGGGATGTCTTTGATTTGTCAGGTGGATGAGTAACCCTTCTCTCACTCTGAGGGCATTGTTGCCCTCTCATTAATCCATAGACATGCAGTCTGACTCTGTCGCCTCTCTTCACGCTCAGTCTGACTGAGAGTTGTGTGCAGGTTTGTGTGTTTGAATAAATGGCAGATTCCCTGATCAAAGCGTTAAATGAAGGCTTAATGAGAGGGATCTGAGATCAATAGAAGGATGTAGAAATGAGTAACTGGTAGAGAAAAGGCTGGAGGGAGGGTTGACACTTCTTATTATCAATATCAATGCGTCAATGTATCAAAGCAAGGTTTGCTACCTGATCATTTAATTACTTCAATTGAGGTTCAAAGGGATTAGCCTTGTGCATTTTGATACTATAGAAATGAAAATTAATCGAGGAGATAATTGGTCTCATGATACAGTTTACGTTTGTGAGCGGAGCTTCAGAAAAACACTCTGTATGCGGCTCTTAAGACTTTATTCCCTCTCCTTCCCATAGTGTAAAACAGGATGAAAGCTGAACTTCTTGCCAAAAGCAGATTTATATTGGTTTATAGAAACATGGAGAGGGTCCAAAAAGGAGAAAAACTATGAAAGGCAGTGACTTCAGCTTGCCATAGCCTGCAGTCAAATGGATATGGGGGGCTGCAGAAATGAATTGAAAAAGAGGGAGGTAGAGCACAACATCAAACCATTTATTACTACCAGTCACAACATGCCTAGCCCTTGCCTCTCCCTGTGCTACTAACAAGTGCTGCAGAGCCACATCAAACACTTTTGCCCTCACACTGACCGTGTTTGTGTTTAGAGCGTCCGTTTGTTTTTCTAAGGGTTGTAACTTGAAGTTGTAATGTGTTAACCATAGCCTGATATGCTTCATCCCTCTAAACTTCCTAGACGTGAGTGGATGTCAGAAATGGGCTTTTTCCTGCCTTGAAACATCATCATTGTCTCAGCATGTTTCCAAAAATGGTCAGCCGGCTATAAAATTGGATTTAGGGCAGGAACATCCTCTTTGGAAGAGTTACAAAGCAACAGAACGTCTCCATAAAGTGTCAGAACATGAGACCGATACAGAGGAAGCAAGATCAACGGGGCTGTAAAACACTGGGAGGATTGTCTCTGGACAAACACTTCAGCCGCATCCAAGACCCCCTCCCCCCTTTTTTCCTCAATGCAGGCAAATGTCAGCATCGGTGTTCAGAATCACCCTGTGCTGTGTGGTTCTGATTAAAACTCCATCAGCAATATCTGCACTTTACCGTTTTTAAAAGAAAGCAAAAGTTGAGATCAGCAATTCATCACACAACAATAAATCCTGAATTTATTTCTCAAGAATGTGAGGTGTCACAAAACGTCCTTGCTCTGCTTCCTGCGGCTTAAAGTCAACTGAATAGTTATGCAGCTAACCTTTTACTTTCATCATCATTAGCTCATGCCTCACAGGATGCAGCTGCAATAATTAGCAAAGAAAACAGCGAACTGTTCAAACACCCCATACGCACGCATGCACGCACGCACGCACACACACACACACACACACACACACACACACACACACACACACACACACACACACA